GGGTCGAGAGCCAGGTGGCTCAGGGGAACGACGAATGACATGAGCAAAAGACTCAGCTGTCCGCGCGGAGTTCTCGGATCGGCGCTGGAGCCCCGTCCCTGGCGCGCGGAGCGCGCCACGGGCGGCGCCGGAGGCGCCGCCAGGGGGGCACCAGCGCGGATCCGAGAAATTTGCGCGGGGTTCCGAGTTGTTATGTTTATGCCATGCTTCGTTCCCCTGTGGCTCGCAGCCGGAGCGAGCGAGGCGGCCCTCGCGGCCCACCCGGTTGGGCGCTCCAGGTCCGGGCTCTCGGGCGCACGCCGTGGCCGCAGCCCGTGGCCGCTGCGGCGCGCCCTCGCGGAGGGGCAGGCGTGGTCTCGGGGCACGTTCAGGTCGGGCAGGTCCTCCTACAGGTACGTAGGTGGATCGAGTTCGTGGTGAGCTCGCTGATTTGCGCGGTCGTGTCGATCTCTGGAAGTGCGTGAATCTTTTGCTTCTGCATCAAAGCGACATTTCGCCATCATCAAGTCGTTGGATGTCTCGAATTTTCAGATTGGCGATGAACATCGAGTCTCGCGTTTTGAACAGACGGCTTTTGGGGAGGAGGAATGAAAAATAGTCAAACAACAATGTTCACATATAGCCAAACAGAGTCCAAAAGTCGTCCCCCTGACTGTGTGTTGACTCCTTTTGAATGTTCCTCCTGTAGAGGGACACGCCCGACTTCAGGGTACGCTTGACAGATTAGGTAGCAAATCATGGGAGCCTGGCGTGCCATGCGAATTCCGTCTCTAGCGTCGAGTAGCGTCGATTAGCGTCTGGGAGTCGATGAGGTAGCGCCGATTTAGCGTCGGCTAGCGTGGATTAGCGTCGATGTAGCATCGATGAGCGTCGAGTCAGAAGAGCCGACAAGATGGTATGGGAGGCTACCATGACTCGTCACCAAAGTCGGAAACTGGAACATATACTTTGTTTCTGGAGGGTCGGGACGACGTCGGGGTGGTGTGGTGTATGCCTTTTGGATCCGCTTCCTGGGAAAACAACGGAACATGTATACACCAGGGTCCCGTGTACACTGGGATCCGCTTTCCTGTGCAAAGTTCAGTGCAGGGCCAGAAAAAGCGTCGGTGTATAGAGTTCGGTTCCCTAGTTGGGGCCTTCCCAGTCCTTGTCCGTTCTGAAAAGGATTCGACGTCGACGCCGCCGCGGACGTCGTCCGGCTCGGATGAACGGCGCCTGCCAATCGGCGGCCGCTGTCGGTTTTCTTCCGCATCTGCTGTCATGGTGTAGTACACTCCTTTGGCGAAGAGGGTGAGTAATTACGAGCGCCGTGTGGGCGCGCTGAGTACCCTGCTGGCGGCGTTGATTTGCAGTCGTACCGACTTTGGAGGTGACGGCATGAGGATAACTTATGGTAAGTTCTCCGGATTTCTTAATAAGCTTCTGGCTTTCTTAATGAGCCAAGAAATTTCAACGTTCTTTGGCTTTCTTAATAAGCGTGGGGGGGGCGTCACCCCCTCCGACAGCCCCACCCCCGTCGCGGGCAGCCACCGCGCGCCGAAGGCGCTCCGACCCCCGTCGCGACGCGACGACGAGGCGAGGTTGACCCCCGTCGGGGGGGTACCCCCCCACGCTTCTTAAGAAACCCAGAGTGTGCCAGGCTAAGACGGCACCTAGGGGACAGTGCGAGGTGGAAGGGCCCAGCCCGCTGATCAGAGCACTCACAAGTGGCCCACACCTGCCGGGGCAACGCCCTCGGTGGGCTCCCGTGTTCAGGAGCCCGCAACAGATGGCGAAACGGGCTTTACGCGCTACGGCATAGCGACCTTACGCGCTCACGCGCTCAGGCCGCGACCCTACGCGCTCACGCGTCTGGAAACGAGGGCGCTTACACGAGACCTTACGCGGGCAACCTTACCAGGGGCCCATGCCAAGAAACACCCTGCCTGCCTCCAGGGTGCCCTGGTTTTTCACATTGCATCTTCGGGGGACCTCCTCGATGCGGCCTCGACGCGGATTTGGCGTGTATTCGACGCTGATTCGACACGGATTCGACACGGGTCCGACGAGGCCGACATGGATTCAACACGGATTCGACGCGGATAGGGCCGCGACGGAACAGACAAGGCCCCCCGAGGATGCAAGAAAGCGATTTCTTGGGTTCCGATGGTTTTGCGATGGAAAGCGTGACGTTCCCACATCAAAAATCAATCGGCGTATTGGGGTCTCAGGGTTGGGTTTTTTGCGGAAGGTTTCTTATGGACTGGCCTCCAATGCAAGCCTTCTCCAAGGCCGCCTGGCGCCCCTGAGAAGGCCTGCCCCCTCTCGCTTCCCCCTGGGCGCGCCGCTGACTTGCAACGGAGGAGTCCTTTGAAGAAGATACAACGCCGTAAACATAAACGTTCGGAGCTCCGCACGGATTTCTTGGATCTGCACAGGGCATCCCTGGCAGCGCCCCGGGCGCCGCCCTTTAGCGCGCTCCGCGCGCCGGGGAGGGGGCCACGGTGCAGTTCCGAGAAGCTCGCGTAGACCTCCGAAAGGTCATGCTGATGCCGTTCATTGGTTTTTTAGTCATGTCCATGCGACAAGTACTCACGCTTCTTCAACGACCACTGTCTGCCGTGGTGCGCACCGCGCAAATTTGGCGGCCATTTGTGCTGGCCGGCAGTGGCAGCGTGTGGTTTTCGTGTTTTCGCCCGTGGCATTTCTGGCTGCGCGGTATGCCACGCACCGCTGCTGGGAACAAATATTGACGCTTCGTGTATCCCCACCAGCCTCTCCCTCGCAGTGGTGACCTCGCTGTCTTTCGTTCCGCGGTCCGACGGCTCGCCGTAGACTCGCTGCTCGTTTCGCTGGGGGTTTTCTACGTGGTCGCGTAGCTTCCCTCGAATTACGCCACTATGGTGCTGCATTCGCCCGGAAATTCTTCCAGGTGTGCGCCGTCTTCTGAGCGGCAGCGAGGCTCGCCTCCTGTTTGCCCCCCCGCTTAGTACTTTCTCTTTCGCGTTCGTTCTCTTACTCTCTTCGCCTCCATCGTCGCTCATTTCGGCCAATGCATCTGCGGTTCGTATCTTTACGCCGCCCGACCTTTTCGCCGCGGTCGCGATCAAAAAAGCAGCCCCGCCAGCCTTGCCTCTCGCCATGGTCGGCCACTGGCTCGTCTATCCGCGCTACCTGCGCACGCGTCGGCTGCAGTGGAGTCGACGATCTTCTTTTGTGTTTCTCTTTCTCTTTATTTTGTTTTGTCTTGTTGTTTGTTTCTCTCTCTCTCTCTCCCTCTTTCTTTTTATTGTTCTCTCTCTCTCTCTCTTTCGCGCCTTCGGCTGCGTTCCTACTCGCTCGTCGTGCTCGTCGCGGCCACGCTTCAAGTCCTACCTGTTCGGCAAGGGTGGCGTTCGCTCCTTTCCCAGGTGTTTTTCGTCACCCTTTTTCCCGTGACTGAGTGGGGGGGGGTTCAACCCCCCCCATTTCTCCTCTCCCCATATTCTTGGGCCGGCGCCGGCGCCGGCGCCGGCGTCGGCGGCGGCGGGCGGCGGCGGCGGGGGTGGTGGCGGTGGTAGTGGCGGTGGTGGTGGTGGTGAGGTGGTTTGCGGTGGTTGTGGAAGTGGTGGTGGGTTATGCTGCTGGTAGTAATGGTGGTGGTTGCGGCGGTGGTGATGGTATGGTAGATTATGGCGATGGTGGCGGTAGTGGTGGTGGATTGTTGTATTGGTGGTGGTGGTGGTGAACTGTTGTGGTGGTGGTGGTGGTGGTGGTGGCTGTGGTGGTGGTGGTTGTGTGGCGGTTTGGCGGTTTGGCGGTGGTGGTGGTGGATTGAGGTGACGATGGTGGTGGTCGTGGTGGTGGCGGTGGTGGTGGTGGTGTGGTTTGTGGTGGTGGTGGTGGTGGCGGTGGTGGTGGGCTGTGGTGTTGGTGGTGGCGGTGCTGCTGGTAGTGGTGCTGGTGGTGGTGATGGGTGGTGGGTGGTGGGTGATGGTGGTGGTGGTGGCTGTGGTAGTGGTGTGGTGGTTTGTGGTGGTGTTGGTGGTGGGTTGTGGTGAGGGTGGTGGTTGTGGCGGACGGCGTGGTGGTGTGTGGTGATGTGTGGTGGTGGTGGTTGTGGTGGGTTGTGGTGGGTTGTGGTGGTGGTTGTGCGTTTTTGGTGTTGGTGGTGGTGGTGCGGTGGTTTGTGATGATGGTGGTGGTAATGGTGATGATGGGTTGCGATGGTTGTGGTGGTTGTGGTGGTGGTGGTGGCGGTGATGGTGGTGGTGGTGGTATGGTGGTCTGAGATGGCGGTGGTGGTGGTGGTGTGGCCTTCGGCTCTTCCCGCCACTGTGTTTTGGCAAAGGGTCAGAGTTTTAATGGATGCCTCTTGAGATCTCGTCAGAAGGGTTTCGGGGGCGTCTGAGGAGCATGCGGGGGCTCGGTATGGCGATTTGTGTGTTCCCGCTGCGGCCTCTGGGCCCTTTGCAGTCATCGTCGCTGCGTCCCCGCCGTCGGCGCTGCTGGCCGGCGCCAGCACTGGCGCGGTGGGGGGGGTTGAACCTTCCCCCTCCCCCCTCCCCCCGCCCCCCTCCTGGGCCCTCTCTGGTCATCGTCGCTGCGTCGGCGATGCGGCGGCCGCCAGCCCCGGCGCCAGCGCCTGGGGGGGGGGGCTTGGAACGACCCCCCCACTTGGGAAGGAGGAGGGGATTTCCCTGGGACGTTGGATTTGACATCGGCTCGGATATTTCCAGGGTGCCAACCCGGCTCAGCCTGGCTTCGTGCCGTTTAATCCAGAATTGCACATGATCTAATTTGGTTAGACAGATGGTTCCGCAAGCGGGATTTCTAGTTCGTAGAAGCGCCCACGAAGACATCCAAGGTCAATCCACGAGGGAGTCGACTTGGGAATCCGCCACTCCTGGATCCCGTGGGAGGTCGTCGCTGGATCTCATCTCCTCCCCCCCCTCGTCTGGGCTTCTTTGGGTCTCTCTCCGCTGGGGGTGCCTGGGCGGGCGGGGCGCCCCGCGGGGCGGTGTGCGCCGTGGGGGGCTGAGGACATCAAGCAGGCGGCTGCGGAGAGATGTCCAGAGGTTGAAGTACGCGAGGCGACATCCCTCGAGGCTGGACGCGCGCCCAGCTGTGATCTCGCCTTCCCTCTGCAGAGCATTTCTCTTACGACGCGTCCCTGCAAGCACCAGCGCCCTGCTGCCTGCACCCGCTCCGCCGAAGAGCTCAGAGCTTTCGGTCATGGTGCGTGATGTATTCTCTGCATGTGCGGATGCAAGTGATGGCGTGCGCATGGCTTCGACGATGAGAATGGCAATACACGCTTGTCGTCGAAAGTAGGTATTGTGAAGAGCTTCCGGCCGGTGCCGCCGACCCAGAAGGACGACGACGACGAATACGACGACGACCACGACCACGACCACGACCACGACCACGACGACCACGACGACAATGACAAAGACGAGCTGAGACCCTGCGACAGTCTCGGGACATGTGGCGGGCGGTGGAGGGAGCAGGAGGAGGAGGCGGAGAAGAGGGAGGGGGAGGGAGGAGGTGGAGGAGGATCGGGACGAGGAGGACGAGGACGTTGACGGTGGCAATGACGATGACGATGACGATGACGAGGACGAAGGCGATGACGATGACGATGATGATGACGACGATGGCGATGACGATGACGATAGCGATGACGATGACGATAACAGACGATGACGGTGACGCTGACGATGACGATGACGTTAACGATGGCGATGTGATGATGACGATGACGATGTGATGTTGATGACGATGACGATGACGATAACGATGACGATGCCGACGATGACGATGATGATGAGGAGGATGAGGAGGATGACGATCACGACGACGATGCTGATGATGATGATCATGATGATGATGATGATGATGATGATGATGATGATGATGATGATGGTGATGATGATGGTGATGGTGATGTTGATGGTGATGACCATGATGGTGCTGACGATCACGTTGACGATGACAATGATGCTGATCATGATGACGCTGATGATGATGATGACGACGACGACGATGCTGATGATGATGCTGATGCTGATGCTGATGATGGCGTTGCTGATGATGATGATGATGATGATGACGATGCTGATGATGCTGAGACGATGATGATGATGATGATGATGGTGATGGTGATGATGATGATGATGACGACGATGATGATGATGATGATACTGCTACTGATGATGATGGTGATGATAATGCTGATGCCAGTGATGATGGTGGTGATGATGATGATGATCCTGACGACGATGACGATGACGATGACGATGACGGTGATGATGATGATGATGATGATGATGATGATGATGATGATGATGATGATGATGATGATGATGATGATGATGCTGAGGATGATAATCAGGATGATAATGAGGATCAGGATGAGGATATAATGATGATGCGTATGGTGATGGTGATGTTGATGGTGATGATGATGGTGATGGCGATGATCATTGGTATGATGATTAACAGGAGGAAGAGGAGGAGGAGGAGGAGGAGGAGGAGGAGGAGGAGGAGGAGGGTGAGAATGAAGATGAGGATGAGGATGAAGATGAGGACGAGGATGAGGATGTGGGTGAGGAGGATGAGGCGGAGGAGGAGGATCAAAGAGAAGGATATTGAGAGAGAAGGAGGAGCAGGAGGAAGAGGGGGATCAAAGAGAAGGAGAGAGGAGGAGGAGGAATAATAAGAAGAATAGGAAGAGGAATAAGAAGCCGAAGAGGCAGAGAAAGAACAAGAAGAGGAGAAGGAGTAATAATGATAAGAGGACGAAGAGGCAAAAGAAGAAGAGGAGGTGCGCACAGCCTGGCGCGACGGGTGGTGACCGAAGCGCGGGACTCTAGCTGGATATGGAGGGCCTTCCACAATCGCGGAAGGGAAGCCAGACTGCAGGGCAAGGGACACGTGCAGCTGGCACAGTGACCACAGCAATAGAGCTGGATCAATTAAGCTGTCGATGGAAACATACGCCACGGCAGCCCAAGGCGACGAGGGGTCAGGAACCCAGAAGACCAGAGCGCCCAGACAGGCATTCCCGCCGCCTAGGCCCTCCGAAGGCGGCCTGTACAGCAGGAACGCCACCCCCGCGGGGACGGACGGGCGACCACCCAGCGGCCCCCCGAGGCCGCCCCAACCCAGAAGGGCTTAGCCATCGCCCCACGGGCGAACACCAACCCCAGAGACCCCCCCCCCGAAACACAACCAGAACGACGAGGCGAATCCAGCAGGGTGGAGCGGGGGCCGCACCGAGGCAGAGCGGAGCACACATGTCAACTAGATATGCTCTGTGCGCTCACAACCTTCAGCATTCTCCACTGCGCACGCGGCATCAGCGAAGCGCCGACTCCCCGCAGGCGCATCGGCTCGTCCCACTGGATGATGACATTGTCAGCGGGACTAGCGACGTGCACCACGGTCCCGACGAGCCCGACAGGGACACGGACCCGTCTGCCCGCATCCGCGTTGAAGGCCTCGATGACCGCGACCCGCATGCCCTCCGCCAGCTCCTCCGTCGGCATGCTGTGCACGCTGTGGCACTCCCCGTCGTTCGCGGCGTCGCGGAGCTCGTCTCCAGGGCCGAACTCGGCATCCGCCCACGACGTTCGTAGACCACCTTCAGATCGAATTGCTGCACCATGAACTGGCCCAGGTAGCTTGCCACCGCCAAGTACCGCAGCGCCGTCATCAGCAGGAAGCCCGTCACGACCATCATGGAGCTCGACGCGACCACCACGAAGCTCGTCACGACCATCACGAAGCCCGTCGCGACAATCACGACGCGCGTCACGAAGCTCGTCGCGACCATCACGAAGCCCGTCAGGAAGCTCGTCGCGACCATCACGACCATCGTGAGGCTCGTCGCGACCATCACGAAGCTCGTCGTGACCATCACGAAACTCGTCGCGACCATCACGACCATCACGAAGCACGTCACGACCATCATGAAGCTCGTCGCGACCATCACGAAGCCCGTCAGGAAGCACGTCACGAAGCCCGTCAGAAAGCGCGTCGCGACCATCACGAAGCGTGTCGGGAAGCTCATTGCGACCATCACGAAGCTCGTCAGGAAGCTCGTCGCGACCATCACCACCATCGTGAGGCTCGTCGCGACCATCACGAAGCTCGTCGTGACCATCACGAAGCTCGTCGCGACCATCACGACCATCACGAAGCACGTCACGACCATCATGAAGCTCGTCGCGACCATCACGAAGCCCGTCAGGAAGCACGTCACGAAGCCCGTCAGAAAGCGCGTCGCGACCATCACGAAGCTCGTCGCGACCATCACGAAGCTCGTCGCGACCATCACGACCATCACGAAGCAGGTCACGACCATCACGAAGCTCGTCACGACCATCACGAAGCTCACCTTCTGCGCGAACGGCTTCGCCAGCACTCGACGAGTCAGCCTCCACCAGCGGCGCCCAATCCACGAGCTTGTCCGTGGGTCCGTCCATGGACGTGGACTGGTCCTCCGCCTCGGAGTGCGACTCCACCCAGCCGCGCGCAGCGGCCAACGCTTCAGCCCCTGCACCAGGATGACGGAGCGTGGAGGCTGCCGCGTCCACCGCGCGCCAGGCCCTCTCCAAGCGGGGCGGCGGGCGCCGGCCTTCGCCACGGCACGCGGCCAGCGTGGCCCCGCCCATCACCGCGACGAGTTCCGCAGCCACGCCCAGCAGCCGCTGCGCCTCTCCCCCTAGGGCCGTCAGCGCCTCGGCCCCTGGCGCCGCCTCCGTAGCCGCTGCGGCAGGCGCTGGCGAGGAACCGCCTTGCGCCGCCCCAGCTTGCAGCAGCTACATGAGTGCTGCTGCGGCTTCCACCGTCGGGACCGTAGCCGTCGACACGCCATATTTGACGGTGAGGCCACATTTCGCCCCACGCGGCATCGCAGCGGCGGGGAGAACAGCAACGCGCGCCAAGGGCCGCGCGCCGCGCCGTGGAGGAGCTCAGAGCAAGCAGCACAGAGCAGGATCTCCTTGCGCCACAATGGCTACGGAAAGGAGGAGGAGGAGGAGGAGGAGGAGGAGGAGGAGGAGGAGGAGGAGGAGGAGGAGGAGGAGGAGGAGGAGGAGGACAGGGCCGGGGCCAGGGCCAGGGCGGGGGTCAGGGCCGGGGCCAGGGCCGAGCTGGGGAGGGGAGGGATCCTGAACTTCCCTCAGGGAGACCACTCCCGTGTGCTCTGTCCTCCTCCTTCACAGGGTGGGCCGCCCGGTGTGGGGTCTCGACCCCCCCCCCCGGCATCCCCCCTCCCGGGCCCCCCCCCCCAAAAAAAAGGGAAGGGGCCTCCCTTCGACGTAGCTACGACACTGTGCGATTCCCCTCGTTTGTTCGATCTCCCTTACGACGACGACGATACAGAGGAGGCTGGCGTACAAGCCTCGCGTGGAAGGACCTCTCACACACGCCGACTGGGTCGTCGGATTGTTTGATACTCGCATCCCAGTCTACTTCAAGCGCCTTATTATTTCAAACATCGGTGTGTGCTTGCTGTGTGTTGTCATTTGGGCGGGCCCGAACCCAATCTACTTTATCCGCCTTCTACTTGATGTTTCCACCTGCTTCTGCCGACTGGCGGGTAGTGGTGGTGAGTGTGCGCACCAGTGACGATAATGCTGGTCCAGACCATACACGGCCAATGAGAACAATCCTCGAACAGGTCAGCACTGCTGGTGCCGCGTTCTCAGAAAATGCTGTAGAGAGGCCCGGTGCCCTGCCGGGGTCCCTGAGCCCCACGGGCTCTTGTCGGGGGCGGCCAACAAGGGAGTGATGACGACGGGGTGGATATCATGATTGGGGCCATAATCTATCCCCTAGTGTCGTGGCCCCCGCTGAGTATTTCAATGCGTCCCTTGGTTATCGCCCTGTCCACGCAGATGCCTCAGGCCATGATTTGTTAATCCCCCTCTGGGACGCTCCCCTTTCGGACGGCCCCGATCGTCGGCGCTCTGGTACTTGTCGGCTGGTGGTAGTGTCCCGATTCTGTCGTGTTAATCTCGCGCGGGGCAGAGACGGTCGTTCGGCAATGTTCGGCAGCCACTCGTAGCAGCTTTGCATGTCCTAGGAATTCAGCCCTCAGAGTGCAGTAGTGTGCGCTAGCGTCTGGTAATGGACGAGACAGCGCCGATTCAGAGTAGATTATCGTCGGTTTGCATCGTTCGGCGTCGACTGGCAAGAGCCATCAAGATGGCACGGGAAGCCTCCCGTGATCATCGTCAACACGACGATCACGCATCTTTTCAAGAGCAGGTCCCGAAAAGAATGCTCATCCCCTGGGCGGATTCTTCAGCAGGGCGGAGAAGCCAACCGCGCCGCTCTCGGACTGGGCAAGGTGCGGCGTCACCTTCGCACTCTGACGCACTCTTGTTTGGACCAAGCGCGCACCTTCGACGGCAGGACAGGCGTGCTGCCTGGAGCGGCTCCCCGGCAAAAGGGGCCCATTCCGCGGGCAGTTTGACAGGAGGAAGGTCACGAGACACTCTGGCGATAGTAGTGGCAGCGATCTTGTTCCGCTTCGGCTTCTGGCGAGATGCCACAGAAGCAACTCTTAACTCGGGCCTGCCCCTCTTACAGGAGGAGTCAGAAAATAGTCGGACTATGTCCGGGGACGATCTTTTAACTCTGTTTGACTACTCTGGGATGTTTTCTCACTATTCTTCATTTTCCGTCCAAAATCCGCCTGTATTCAGAGCGTGAGTTACCTACCCCGCTTTCGATTCCAGGCAAAACCAAGTCATACCACGCGCCTTCTCGTCAAGCGGCCTGACCAGCACAGGCCGTAGTTTGGCATCGCTTGGTATCTCTTGGAAGCGAGGGTGGTCAAAAGCGAGGTAGGTTTGTTTGCCCCCAGTGTATGGGAGGACATGCTCGGCCTGCAGCAAGTCGAGGGCCAGCACTCCGTGGCACACGCCGACGCCACCGCGGGCCGGCAGACCGTGGGAGAGAGGCGGCGCGTGGAGCGACCTCGCCCTTTCCCCCCACGCGCGCGCCGCGCGCAGGACATCCAGGGCGCCGCCGCGCTGCTCGCGGAGTCCAACCCCGGCGACGGCCTTCCGGGGGGGCAGAGGAGGAGGAGGAGGAGGATGAGGAGGAGAAGGAGGAGGAGGAGAAGGAGGAGGGGGAGGGGGAGGAAGAGGAGGAGGAGGAGGAGGAGGAGGAGGAGGAGGAGGAGGGGAAACGTGAAGTTGGGACAGTCTACGCCTCCTCCCTCCTCCTCCTCTGCCTCCTCCTCCTCCGCCGCCTCCTCCGTCGCAGTGGTTTGTGACTCGAGGGGGTCTGGGAGCCGCCCTCCCTGCCCTGGCCGGGCTCGCCCCTCACAGTCGCCCGAGCTGGGCCGTGTCTTTGCGGGCGCTGCCAGCGGTGGTCCTATGGCACTCGGTGTGTCTAAGCCTCCTAGGTTCTAGATGGGCTCGGAGTAGATGGGGTCGGAGGATCGCGCCGCACCGCCGATGCATCGCCGATGCGGCCCGATGTGGAGCCCGATGTGCTTCACGTCGACGTCGCCGATGCCTCGCCGACGTCGGCGATGCGTCGCCGGTGCATCCCCGATGCATCGCCGATGCATCGGCGGTGCGGCGCGATCCCATCTGGTCCGACCCCATCTGCTCCGACCCCATCCAGGCGGCCTCGGAACGTGACGTGGAGATCGTCGGCGGCCAGCGGGGGGGGCCTCTCCAGGCGGCGCGCCTCCCGCCTCTGGCGCCCGCTCGGACGGTGCGGGCGCCACCGGAGAGACTCCTCGGCGAGGCGCGGCCAGCAGCCGGAGCGCATCGCGAGCCTGGAGATTGGGCGCCGCGCAATGGGGGGCTCATAAATGGGGGGGTGTCGCGGGTGGTCCGAAAAAGGTATCCAAACGGTACCTAAACGAGCCCCCTGGGGCTCCGGAGGGGCCCGAAAGGGGCACGAAAGGGGACCTTTTTTGACCCCCCCATTTATGACCCCCCCATGAAGCCACGCCCAAGGAGAGCCGCCGAGAGCCAGCGACCGGAGCGCATCGCGAGCCTGGAGAGCCGCCGAGGGCCAGCGGCCGTGCCCGAAGGGACAGACGCTCCCCCCCGGAGCCTCGGAGCCGGGCGCGGCGATCCGATTGCGGTGCGGTTTCCGGGGCGGTTCGCTGGGCGAGCCGGCTCGTGCCCGATCCGACGTGGCTTCGCGATGGGATTCGCCTCGGGCCTGGTGGGTGTGTATGTTCGGGCCGGACGAAAGGGGGGGATTGGGAAAGGGGGGGTTACGAAATTTGCTGCATGCAGCTGGTTTCGGCCTCACCGAGGGGCCCGTTCCTCGATACATAGCTCCATCCGGCGCCGGGAGGCGCCGGGAAAATCAGCTACGTGAGCTGATTCTCAAACCCCCCCTTTGCTATCCCCCCCTTTCGCCCGACCCGATATGTGCGGGACGGGAAAACGACCACAGCCACTGCTTCTTGTTCGCGCCGCCGTCCAGCTGGCCGAGAAAGAAGCGGTGGTTGTGGTCACTTCCCTGGTGCCAAGCTCAACGAAAATTACCACAACCACTGCTTTGTTGCTGCGGGCTGGAAGGCGGCATCAAAAGAAAAGCAGTGGCTGTGGTCGTTTTCACGCCCCGTAGTATGAGAGCCTGCATCGCTCTCGTGGCTGGCCAGCTGAGGAGTCACGGCTGAGCTGCATTCTTTTGGCCGACTTTGGCTGTACAGGGGGGGCCCATGCCAAGAAACACCTGCTTGCCTCCAGGGTGCCTTGGGTTTCTGGGGTTTCGATGGTTTTACGACGGAAGGTTGCGATGGACGTCCTGGGGTCTCAGGATTGGGTTTCTTGTGGACGGTTTCTTGTGGTCGGTCCTCCACTGTAGGAGGCGCGCCCGGGGGGGGGGGGCAAATGAGAAGGAGAGGGCCTTTTCGGAAGGCGGCGGGCCTTCTCAGAAGGCCCCCAGCCTTCTGAGAAGGTTTCTCTGTCTTCGTGGACGGCTTAGAGAACTTCTCAGAATGCCAGGGGGACTTCCGAGCCTTCTGAGACGGCCCGCGCCTTCTGACTTCTCCCCGGGTGCGCCGCCTAGATAGTCGGGTTGACCCAAGAGGGGGTCTAGCGACAGGGGTGTGGTGCAATAGATTTGGTGCAATGGGTTTGTGGGGTTGCAATACATCTGGGGCGTGCAATACATTCTTGGACGCAAATGTATTGCTGGAGTTTCGCATACAATGCATTACTTGCAATACAATGCAATCCAATTATCCGGCGCAGTACACTTGCAATAAAATTACCCCAAACCTATTGCACCACCCCTTTTCAGCTGAACCTCCTTTTGGGCCACCCAAAGATAGGCTCAGGGGGTGTCTGTGTTGTCGGATTTGTTCGCGGGCGCCCCCCCCCTTCCCACTCCCTTGCGTGCCGCAGATGTCGCACCCCGCTTTCCCACTCCCCAGAGGAATAGGAGGAGATGGGGGGGGAGGAGGAGGAGGAGGAGGAGGAGGAGGAGGAGGAAGAGGAGAGGAGGAGGAGGAGGAGGAGGAGGAGGAGGAGGAGGAGGAGGCAGCTGCGCCTCGTGCGAGCTGCCCCCCCGGTGCCCGCGCCAAGGTCGAGCACCTGGGGCCCCCCTGGGCCTCCTTCGGGGGTTGCCAAAGGTGCCCCTGGCCTGAGGTACCCCCCAGCTTTTCGTTCCGTCCTGGAGCCCCTTCGGGCCTCCTTCACCTCGTGAGGGGTGCTCGGAGGGCCGTGGGGTCCTTCTTGGGAATCATGGAGGCACCTTGGGCCAGGGGCGCTTCCAGCAACACCTGACTCGTGAGGGCAGGAGAGCCACACATCGAATCCATAAGTCGGATCGGCGATCGACATGACCCGGATCGGCGGAAATCGGCAGCCGAGTCGGGAGAAGTCGACATCGGCAGACGTCGGCAAGCTAGCAGGCCTCCATCGAGAAATCGGACCCCAAATCGGAATCCGAAGTTGAATCGATTCGGCATCGGAACCCACGTCGCGTTTCGGGCCCGGGGCCATGCTTTGCTGTGTGCCAACATTCAGGGGAAAAGCGGAATGCGGCTCATTTGTTGTTACCGTTGTGGGGCCTATTTTGGGGGCCGGTCCCCAGGCAAACGCATGTTTTCAGATTGCAAGGGCTCGCGGAGCGGCCCGAAGCTGCGCGAGCAGTTGTCTAAGCTGACGGCGGGTGACCATCCCCATTATCGCAAGACCACGCGGGGGCTGAGACTGGCGCCGCCGGATGGGGTGCCTATGGACGAGCGCCTCCGTTTGCAAGCCGTTTTTTCGGCTGCTGCCTCTCCAGCGCCAACCTGTGCCCGCGCTGGCGAAGAACGCCCAGCGGCGCCAGCGCTGTCCCAGCGGGAGGTCGTGCTCCGCTCTTTCGGCATAGCTGAATCCGACCTGCCTGCGGTGCGCGTGCGCGGCCTGAGGGTGACCGCCAGGGCCCGAGCAGCAAGCGATTCCGGCTTCTCATCGGAAAGCGATGTGGAAGATTGGGAGTGGTAGTGCTTCTAGCGGCGTGCCGCTGCCTTCTAGGCCGTTCCCAACCCAACCCAACCTCCCCTTGCTCCTCCCCCTCCCCCTTCTCCTCCTCCTCCTCGCTGGCGACCCCCGACAGGGGTGGCCAGAAGCTGAGGGGGGGGAGGCGACGCACGGCCAGTGGAGGAGGTGCGCCGCGCGGGCGAGATGGGGCCGCCACTTCGGTGCAGGTGCCCCTCGTGGGCCTATGGCGGAGGACTGACTCGGCTACCCTTGCACCGACTGGGAGACTGCATATCCATATTTGTATATACAATGAACAGATATGCATTGCATGTGTATATATGTCTATGAATATGTGTATATATATATAGATCGACATATAGAGAAAGAGAGAGAGAGAGAGAGAAAAATAGAGAGGCAGAGACAGAGAAAGAAGAGAGAGAGAGAGAGCAACAAGCAGAAACACAGAGGCAGCATGAACATCTATATATATATAGAGAGAGAGAGAGAGAGTGATGTGCAAATATTGGGTCACCTCCAGGGGCGCGGAGTTAGGTGGCCTATCCAAGTTTTCCGGGGGCGCTCCCGCCCCGTATGAAGTTCTGAGTTGGCGACTTGTACGAATGAGTGGGCAGGACAGTGCACCAGACTGGGCAGTCACCCGGCTTCCCGGCAGCATGCCGCCGGAGCAGCAGCCGACGATGCAATTGTTGATTGTTCGGCGGGGCGGCGCTTCCTCGCTGCAAGAAAGCAACCTGGATTCGGTACGTGGATCTACGAATGCGGTATACGGGGTATTTGCCCCAAGCACATCGCGTTGATTTCAAACGGCATTTCCAAAGATCGATGATCCTCAGGACGTGTTAGCCCAATGTGTGTGTACCCATTTCAGCCCAACCAGTAGATCATTGCATCGACTTCGTCGTATCGAAAGTCCTCGATGGACAAGCACACGTTGGGGCTAACACACGTTCTGAGGATCATCGAAAAGACGAGGGCGCTCTCAGTCGTTGCAGAATCCGAATGCTTGTCGTCACCGCTTGGCTCAGAGCAGCCGTTGCAGCTGGAGCGGACGCAAGCGACGCAGCAGCAGGTGGAGCATCCGAGAGTGGAGTCTGGCAAGGCGGAGTCACTGCGCTTGCCCTGGAGCGCAGGATCTGCCCTGGGTGACCTCCTCGCTTCCCCACGATCTGGGACCCACCCCGCGCAGACTTGGGCCACGAGCTGCCGCGGCACGCCACGGCAGACGACGCCGACGCCCCTTTCTGTGGGGCGCCCCCGGGGCCACGAGGAGCCTCGCAGCCCTGGCGGCGTGCATTGTGCGCACGGAGGCCGGAGGCCAGCCGTGCAGGGGGAGGCAGGCCTCGCGGGTGCGCGAGGAGGAGGAGGAGGAGGAGGAGGAGGAGGAGGAGGAGGAGGAAGTGGAGAAGGAGGAGGTCAGGAGGAGGAGGAGGAGGAGGAGGAGGAGGAGGTGGAGGAGGAGGAGGAGGAGGAGGAGGACTGCTGCCGGGGGGCAGGTGAGCAGCAGGGCTTCGCCGACGCGCTGGTGCCCTTCCTGGGCCTGTCCTACATGCGCCTCCTGTCGACCATATCCCTGTCCGGAGGGGACGGCGTGCGCGAGCGCGCGTGTGGTGCGCGCGCGCGCCTGCGTGCCCGTGCGCGCGCGTCTGTGTGGGCGGGCGTGCTCGCGCTTGCAAGGACGCGCCCCAGAGAGCCCCAGGGAAGATGCCTGGGGATACGCGCGCGTGTGCGTATGTTAGGGGTATGTGTGTATGTGTGCGTGTCTGTATGTCTGAGTGTTAGGGTGTGTGTATGTATGTGTGTATGTATGGATGTCTGTATGTATGTGTGTGCGCGCGTGCGAGCGTGCGTGCGTGCGTTTGTGTGTGTGTGTGGGTGTCTGTGTGTCTGTGTGTCTGTGTACCTATAAGTCAGTGTGTGTCTGTGCGTGCGTGCGTGCGTGCGTGTAGGTGTGTGATTGTGTGATTGCGTGATTGTGTGTGTGATGGTGTGTGTGATTTTCTTGTCGGCGGTGTGCGCTGTCCGCGCGCGCGCGTGGTCTCCTCCCCCCATGATTTTGCGGCTACTCCTCGATTTGGTGTGGGTTCGATTTTCCCACTCCTCCTCCTCCTCCTTCTCCTCCTCCTCCTCCTTCCGTGGCCATTTTGGCTCAAGGCGCCCGGTGGCCAGGCACCAAGGCCGGGAGCGGACGCGCTCCATTGGCCCCGCGGGGCCGCTCCCCCACGGCCCGCCGCGGCCGCGCCTTCCTCCCCTCCCTGGCCATGCCGTCTGAAGATAGCTGGCCTGAATCGATTGCCACCACTCCGCCAGCCTCCACGCCGCCTGCATCCCCTGGAGGTACGACCATGGAGGGAGTGAGGGACACCGAGAAGATCCTCGCTGCCATGCATGACATGATCGCTCCTCTGTCGCCGTCGGTCGCCAGCTTATCCAGTCAGTTGAATCGCGGGGTGCAAGAGATAAACCAACAGATCTCGGGAATCCAGGGTCAGATGGTCGCAGCCGAAAACAATTTCCAGACACTTCAGCAGGCACACGCGGAACTGGCAAAGCAGACAGCATCGAATTCTGAGCAGATGCGTGCGATCCACGAACAGGCCTTCTTGCAGTGCGTCCAGGACCGTGAGACCGCTGAATCTGCCCTTCGGGATGAGCTCAAAGGAATGATCCAGACGATGCCTGACGAGATCCAGGATATTCAGAAAGTCGTCGAGCTTGGGTCCCCGACACCTCGCGGGGAAGAAGAAAGGCAAGTCCGTCGGAAGATTGAGTCTGGGGTTGTGGGGAACCCCTCGCGTCTTGTGTTTCTTGGATTTCCACGGCCGCTGATGGAGAAAACGCTTCGTGAAGCCGCCCAGAGCATAATCTCCCGCTGTGCTCCGTCCTCGTCTCAAGGTTCGATCCATGTCAAGGCCTTCGATCGCAGTAAGAAAGTTTTCCTGGACTTTGATTCCAACCTAGAGACCACAACGTTCCATGGGATGGCGTCGTCCGCGAGCACGTTCCCTTTCCCGAACCCTGAGGGCGGCCCCGACTTACTGCTACGGGTCCGACGCGATCTTCCCCCCTCTTCCAGAAAGCGGTTCTACTACCTCGGGAATATGCGACAGCATGTCTCCATAATCTTCGGGGCGGACAAAGTGGGGTCCACGGGACTAGGAGGTGCAGTGTATGTGATGAAGGGCCACGGAGTCCCTGTGCCTGTGGTTAAGATTTCTATTGTTGACGATGGCCCAGCCGCGGGCACAGTGCAGCGCGGCGTCGAGATTGATGGGTTGACGGAAGTGGGAGGGCAGCAGCACGCGCAGTGTCTGCACACCAGGTTCGCAGAGATCCGCCCCTTTCGGCGAGTACCCGAACAGTTCGACAGGTGAGTGCGCGGTGGGGAGAAGTCCAGTGGGTTCTGCTACTGAGTGCTCGTCCGCCCTCTCCGCCCAGTTTGATGTACTCCATGCAAGTGACAGTGCTCTTTCCTTCTCGCCGCCTGCTGGGGAAGCTGGTGGTGTCTACCGTCCTGCCCGTCCGCTGTCTCTCTGCAGTTGGACCACGCGCGCGCTCTTCGCCTCTCTCTCGTCTCGCTCATCTCGGTCGCGCTCACGCTTCCTTCGGGCCAAGCAGCTGCTCTCACAGTATCAGGTCATGCGTTTACAGGAGACGCACGGGTCTGAAGCAGATTTGGTTATCCTTCGGGGCGAAATGCGGACTGGGCAAATGTTTGGGAGCTTTCTTGAGGATCGAAACGCGGGGGGAGTGGTGACCTCCCTGTCTTCGGAACTCTGTGACTGATTCGACTCGATCGCTCCGAGTACGGTCGTTCCTGGGCGAGTTTTACTTGTCCATTGTCGAGGACCTCGAGGCGACTTGGTAGTGGTCAATGTTCATATGCCTAACACGTGTGATGACGTTCGTATCTTTCATCAGCACTTACGCCTCATCAATGCCGCTCTTCCTGCGGCAGCGCATACCATGGTTTTCATTCTGGGAGACTGGAACTTCTGCACGATGGAGGATGGTAGGTCTCTTGTATCTGGGGGGGGTGGGCCTGGTGACCGTTTGCAATGTGATGCTTTTCAGGAGCATTGTAGCCATTGGTGTGAATTGTACCAACCCGAACCGACCAGAAGGGATATTGTGAATCGGGAACTGAGGGGGCTAGCCAGGTTAGACCGGGTTTACACAACCCTTCTTGCAGGTATTCTCAATGAGGTGACCGTTGTTGTCGACGCTGTCGGCGCCCTCATGCATCCAGGTGCCTCCCCCGATCACATCCCCGTGACTGCCACGGTTCTCCCGACCCCGAAGGGTCGTTTCTCGGTTCCGAAATGGATCAGCCAGCATGCTGACTACCACAGATTCGTTTCCGAACAGCTTCGGGAGCTGACGCCCCCATCGGACCCCGTTCAGAAACTTGCGAGGGTGAAAGAAGTTTTTGGTACGGCAGCTGGAATTTAAGAAGGCCCTTAAGACCTCGCATCCATGGCATACCGTGGGTGGAGGGGTCGGCAGTGGTATCTCTGTCTTCGTGCCATCCGTTGCTGCGCCTCTCTCCTGTCTTTCTTCGACGTCGACGGCGGTGCGTGCACTGATCCTGATGGCCTCCACAGCTTGGTACTAACCTTGAAGGGGCGCTGGTTTGATGCGGAATTGGAGGAGGTGGATCATAGTAACCAAGTGGAGGAGGTCAGGACCAAGAAGAGGCGGAGGCTGGTTGCTCTTAGGCGCGGGTGGGATCTCATGGGGGGGAGGACTGGACTGCTAGGCGTTCTGGACGAGAGCGGGGCCCCGTGTACCTCCCCAGAAGCGGCTTCGGCGGCGCTGGTTGCCAATTGGAGCAAGGTCTTTGCACAGGCTGAGTACGACCCGACTCATTGGGAAGAAATACTGACCCATGTTCAGACTATTGGCGGCTGTACTACTGCCCCACGGCGGAAACTTGACGCCGATGAGTTTCGGGGCCGTGTCGGCCATAAGTTTCATTCTGCCCCTGGCCCTGACGGGATCCCGTATGGGCGCTGGAAGGCCCCCGAGGCGACCGATGCTTTATTCGAGGTTTACGAGGAGGTTTTCAACAGTGGAGGAGGGGCTCTCCCCTCTGAATGTCGGGTTAGTCGGATGGTGTTCCTCCCGAAGGGCAGCGACCCCAGGGATCGCAGCGACTTTGTCTCTCGTGCACCTGCGTCCACCCGCCCGCTCTCCCTGGCGAATACGGATGCGAAGGTGCTCTCCGATGCCTTCTGTTTGGGACTCAACGACGTCGCTCCTGAGACGGTGGATGTCTCCCAGCGTGGTGGGGTTCGCGGGCGTAACATACTAGACAATGTCGTGGAAGTTGAAAAATGGGGCCGTATCCAACACATGCGTGGGAGAGATAAGGCGGGGGTCTTGTTTACCGACTTCAAGGCGGCGTTCCCGTGGATCTTGGCTGAGTGGATTTTTGCCGTTTTGGTGGCCATGGGGGTTCCCAGTGAGCCCGTGGGCTTCTTCAAAGCCCTGTACGCCAACAACGCGGCCCTGGTATGCTTTGAGGGCGCTGCCGAAACTGTTTTCCCTGTGGAACGAGGTGCGCGGCAGGGGGATCCTGCGTCTATGACCCTCTCTGCTCTGGCCCTGGACCCCGTACTGCGCTGGATCCGGCCCGCCGTGTCGAACGGGTAGGTATCCAATTGGCGTGCGCTGATGACTGCTGCTTTGGTCTATGTGACATTCTCATCGATCTCATGCCCACCTTGCTGCTTCTCGACTTGCTCTCTTCCGCGATTGGTCTATCATTGAATGTGGGGAAATGCTACGTCCTGATCTGCGGGACGTTGAATGGAGATGCCCTCGCTGCTCACATGACTCGGAAAGGCAGCCGTTTCGCCTCAGTTCGTTTCGCCACCAGAGTTTTTTACCTCGGATTCTGGGTGGGCCCATCGGCCCATGAGGTGGCCTGGATGGAAACGATGAATAAGTTCTGGCAGCGAGTTCGTCTTTTTCGCTCTCTCTCGCTGGGATTGGCGACCACCATCCGCCTGTTCCACTCTAATTGTCTCTCAGTCTTGCAGTATCGGATTCAGCTGGTGAGGGTCACCCCAGGGGTTCGGCGTCAGTATAGGGAAGCTTTGCAGATACTAACAGCGGGACCTCGCCTCTCCTTCTCCCCCTCCCCCTCCCCCCCCCTCCCCCTCCCCCTCCCCCTCCTCCTCCTCCTCCTCCTCCTCCTCCTCCTCCTCCTCCCCCTCCTCCTCCTCCTCCTCCTCCTCCTCCTCCTCCTCCTCCTCCTCCTCCTCCTCCTCCTCGTAGGAAGCTTGTTGTTTCACTCGCCTTGCTCTGCTTTGGGAAACCGAGCGCGACCATGCAGTTCAGCCCTGAAGTGGATTTGCGGCCTCGCTGGGCCAGCTCGTTCAGCCCGTGTCCGGCTCATACATGCAAGCAGTGGCTTGAGTGGTGTGCTTGCCAGCGTTGCGTTAGACCATCGAGCAACACGGGTTGATGGAGGTCGTCTCCACTGACAGCCGTGGCCGTGGTTGAAGGCGAGGTCGTCGGATTGGCCGAGGTTCGGTTTGTCAGTGTGCGAGATGTTCTTCTATGGTATGCCACTTTTTCTATCCATCGCTATCCCGCCATCGATCTCGCATTGTCTCTATCCCTCTCCTTCTCTCTTTATCTTCATGTCTAGCTCTCCAGTTTTTGTTATGTCTGCCCTCTCTGTGGTCGATATGTTTTTCTTCGACGTCGGCCCATCCCGCAACCATTCCTGGGTTGTGGGTTAGAGATCTCTTGGATGTTCGTTTGGATATCTCCGGAGGCCCCTCGGGGGCCTCTTGGAGGCAGTTCTGAGGCCTCTTGGGGGCCGTTTGGGGGCCTCATGGGACCGGCCTCTAGGGGCCTCTAGGGGGCCTCTTGGGCTCTCTTGGGGCCTCCTAGGGGCCTCTTGGGGCGCAAGGCTCGAATTGTCGGTGTTTGCTCCCCCTCGTGGGCCTCTCTCGGAGCAGTCTTGAGGCCGTCTTGGGCGATCTTGGGCGCCTCTTGGACCGTTTGGAGGTCCTCTTGGACCGTCTTGAGGCCCTCTTGGGAGCCTTTTAGGGGCGGTATTGGGAGCCCGCGGCGCCATCTTGGAGCGCCGGAAGCCCGAAAACGAGAGAGCGCGACAAATCATCGAACAACACCACTACATTACATGACATTCAATGATGGTTATCTCTTTGGGCCCTCTTGGGGGTGCTCTTGGAGCGCTCGTGTGGCTTCTTTGGGACCTCTTGGGCCGTCTTGGGGCCGTCTTGGGCGTCTTTGAGCGCTCGTGGGCTGCCTTGGAGGCCTCTCGGGCCCTCTTGGGCGCTTTCTAGGGGCCGTCTTGGGGCCCCTTGGTTTCTGGAGAAGTCGCGCGAGGCAGCCCAGGAGCGCGTGGGAGTGTCCAGGAAAGTTGAGAATCTGGGGCTCCAGCCCCCAAGTAGGAGCCTCTAGTCCTGAGCACGGAGAACAGAGAACACATGACAGCCTGGGGGGAACCCCATTTCGTGCCTCGTGGCACGGTGGAGGACATGTATGTATGTATGCATGTATGTATGTATGTATGTATGCATGCATGCATGCATGCATGTATGTATGTATGTATGTATGTATGTATGTATGTATATGCATTCATATATATATATATATATATATATATATATATATATATACATGTATGGGGGATTCCGACCCCGGGGACCCGCAGGGCCCCCCCCTTGTACATAGGTAGTGCCCCCCTCCCAGGAGCCCTCTGGGACCCGCCCCCGAGGCTCAGAGCAGCCCTAAATCCGCCCAATATTGATTACAGATGGCCCAAGAGCTCTCCAAGACGCACCAAGAGGACCCCAAGAGCGCTCCAAGACGGCCCAGGAGGCCCCCAAGGGTGCCCGAGAGGCTTCCGAAAAGGTCCTCGAGAAATTTGAATCTTTCACAAACCAGCGGGAAAATTATATGTTTGGCCTCAGAGGCCCTCAAGACGGCCCAAGAGGCCTCCCAGAAGGTCACCAAAAGGCAGAAACAGCCAAATTCCTTTCGGACAACATACGTTTTTAGCATATTCGCTTCTTCGGTCCTAGCAGCGCCCAAGACGGACCCAAAGGCCCCCAAGACGGCCGTAAGACGATCCAAGAGGCCCCCAAGAGGGCCCCAATGACGGCCCAAGAGAGCTCCAACACGGCCCATGAGAGCCCCCCGACGGCCCACGACGGTCCCTAGAGGTTCCCAAAAGAGTCCCCAGGGAGCCCCAAGAGGGCCACAGGAGGCACCCTCGACGGCCCAAGAGGGCCCCAAGACGGCCCAAGCGCCCAAGACGGTCCCAGAGGGCCCCGGGACGGGCCAAGAGGGCCCCAAAGGGCCCCAAAGAGCCCCCAAGAAGGTCCCAACAGGCCCCCAGAGACTCCCAAAACGTTCCCAAAACGGTCCCAGGAGGCTTTCCAGTAGTCACCCGTAAGCGTATGGGAGGTCTCGCTTCGACGTCCTGCACGAGTTTCCCCGAAAAGGCTTCAAGAGGCTCCCGATTCACGATCCATCTCAGGGCTTCAGAGGCCTCACAGAAACATGCCGCGTGGCCCACAGAAGCACCCAAGACGCCCCGAACTCACGATCCAGGTCAGGGGTGGATCTATTGCCATGGGCGGGGCGGCGGGATGCGAACGTTGGCTCTGGAACCGTCGGTGGAGCTCCCTGTTGATACGATTCGTGTGAGGAGAGAGTCGACATACGCGTGGGGGGGACGTGACGTTATGCGAAGCCCCACACTAAGGCCGTACGTGAAACGACATCCCTCTGGGGCACGATTCGTGTGTTGGGTGTGCCGAGATGGGCGGAGCGACGCCGTGCGAACTTGGTCCCTGGACCCGAAAGAGGAGCTCCCAGGGGACAAGATCCGTGTGAGTGCCGTGCCGAAATTGACGGGGGGGCGCCATGTGAACCCCGCCTTCATCTGGGGCCGTAGGTCTCGCGTCCATCCGCATGATCGGTATTGTTTTACCTCGAGCTCAAGCCAGTTGTGGGTCACTGCTTCAGTGGAGCTGTGACCTTCTCAAGGGATGGGGCTGTTGAGAACGCCCTTCTTGGGGCTCATTGTGGGCCTCGTCGTTTTTTTGTCGCGCTGAGGAGGCACTTCCTTGGACCCTCTCTTTCTGTCGTTATCTTCGGGCTTTCTTGGGGCGCCTCTTCGGGCCCTCCTGTGCTTCGTTCTGGAGCCTGCTTGGAGCTCTTTCGGGGCCACGCTTGGGCCCCCCTTAGCCTCTCTCGGAGAACTCATTTGATGTTTTTGGGTGCCCTTTGACCCTGTCTTGGGCTCCCCTTGGGGTCCTCTTGGGCTCTTCCCAGGGCGGCTCGTCCCTGGGATCTCTGAGTTCCGTGACGCCTCTGACTCTCTCGGTCTTTTGTCTTATTGTGCATTGTATTGCATTGCATTCCACTGGGCTGTTTTCCATTGCATGTGCAATTGCATTGTTTCGTGATCCACATTGCACTTATGAGCATCGCTTTCCTCTGCTTTGCATTGCATTCATAGCCTTGCATGTGTTTGGCTAAACTGGCTTGCGTAGCTTCGAATTGAATACTGGAGAGGCCTTACTGCCGGTGCCGCCGACCCTGAACGACGACGGCGGCGACGACGACGACGACGACCAAGGGGGGTCGCTCCCCCCTGTGGAGGGGGGGACTGGCCCGTGGGGGGGGGGCTCCCTCCTGTGGACAGGGGGAGAATGGGACGCTTGGAAGGGGGGGCCAAAGCGGGGACGCTGGGGGGAGGGGAGGAGAGGCTCTCCCCACATATTCGGGATCGGCAAAACAATAACAGGAACCCCACGGGCCCCAGGGCCCCCCCCGGGACCACCCCCCAGGACCACCCCCCGAGACCACCCGCCGGGACCGCCCCCCGGGAGTTGCCCCGGGACACCCCCCCCGCTGGGGAAGGGATCAAGGGAAGGTGCTTCCCTTCGTTGTTCGATTCGATTTCGTATTGGCTGGATCGGTTGAGGAAGAGGGCCCGGGGAAAGGGGGAAGATGGCGAGGGCGACGACGACGACAACGACGACGGCGACGTCGACGACGATACCGACGACGACAAACGGAAGAGCGCCTCACACACGCCGACAGGGTCGGCGGATTAAGGAGCATATGTCATTGTCGGTGCTTGGGTTCTGTTCGGCCAGCATTATGGATGCTTCTTGTACCTCATGCTTACACCATCAATGGGTAATCACTTCAGTGGATACGGGACCTCCTCAAGGGATGGGGTCGACTAGAACCTAAGCGCGCGCGAAGCGCGCGCGTGGTTCTAGTACATATATATATATACATATAGATATGTATCGCGCCCCCCCACCCTTCCATGTGTAGGGTTCAGTTTTCCAAACGTTAGTGCTCTCAGTTTCAGCGCAGCCGCCTCGATAAACCGATGTACATCCATGGACATCGGGCTCAAGTGCATTAATTTGCGGCCAGTCCGCATGCAGCTTGCCCTTCTTTCCAATTCCTGGAACATTCTCTCCAGAGGCTGGACAGCCTCGCAGACGATCAGAAGTGTGTTGGCGCCCGTGGTTGCGAGTACGGGCGAGTGTGTAGCAGTGCTGGATCTCTTCGGCTGCACGCGGGGCCTGGCGAGCACCTCGTTCATCCTCGGGTTCCTCCTGGCGAGCGCCTTGTGCTGTGGGTGTCCCCATGGCCGTGGAGGCCGGCAGGAGGCTGCTCGTGCAGTGGGGGGATGGGCAGGACTGGCAGGCCCGCGTCGCCATCGCTCCCGCCACCGCCGCCGATCTGCAGGCCATCATGGAAGTTCAAGCGACTCCCGAACAGATAGCAGCAGGGAAGATATGGTGGTGCGGGACCCCGGACGGCGACGCCTACCCTCACTGCCTGGACGTGGGCCCGCTCAGCGGGTTGATCCTGTGCGACGACGAGGGCCGGCCCGATCGGGCGACGCTCCTCGGCACACGATTCACCAACCGCACGCGCGTGTATGGCTCGGACTGGAGCGCCACGCCGCTGGAGTTCGCCAAGATGATCAAGCTGTGCATCGGCGACCAGTGGCTGGAGCCCCGGCTGGCAGTAGTGGCAGCTGGGGGTGGAGCGGTGGCGAATCTGATTGAGGTCGGATCGCGGGTTCTGCCGCCCCCGACCCCCGACGGCTGGCAGGTCGTCTGGAGCACGGGCGGCACCCCGCGCAAGACTCTGCTGGGCAACCTGAACGTTGACGAGTTCGCTGTCTGTGACGTGGGTGCGCTCGCCGTGAAGGGCTCAGAGGTGCTGCTGCTGCGGAGGAGCTCAGGTGTCGATGATGACTTGGACTCGGACGCCCGCGTGCTCAGCATCGTCCAGAGCCCGAGTGGTGAGCGACGGCGCCCATTCAAGGATAGTGTGAGAGAGATGACGGAGACAAGCTGGCCGGCGTGGCCGATCCTCGGCCCCAGGACCGCCCGGTGGTGTCTCGACTTCATCGCTGAGCAGGACACCCACCCCCGCGCGCGACACACGAAATGGAGACATGAAGCGGGGGTGGGTGGTCAGGACATCGGTTGTCAGGACCATGAGCTG